TTTTAAAAATGGCTTTTTTTCACTGGCATACTACTATCTTACCACATCATAAGCATAAGAAACAGTAAAAGATTTGTAGGACATAATGTCAAACTTGATATAGACCGGTGAATAATATTCACAAAATGTCTAAAAAATATTGAAACCAAGAGGGCAGTGGGGGAAGCTGAGAGTAAACTACCTAATCCAAATCCAGGGCCTTCTCATTCTGTTGGAGGGACCCCTTCCTGGTTGATTTCCATCAATCAGTTCCTATCTTTGGCCATACTAGGCCATGTTGGGCTGGGTTATCTGCCCTCTAGTTCTTTTCCACTGCCTTGGTGTCCACTCTGTTGCTCAAATAGTCCACCTGTTGTCTCTGAGACAAAAGACCTGGCCATCACATCTAATTAATGACGGATTATTTAATAAAGAAACTGCCCAATGACTGTGTAAATGGTCAACAGAAAATCGACTGGGAGGGATAGTAAAGACAAAAATTGATTAGATCTATTAAGGGTAGAGAGTTGTGGAGAGCCATAATCAGTCACATCTTGAAGTAATATGGCACAAAAGAAAAATATACTCATTAATGTTACTTAATGTCACAACTTTTACCTGTCAGTTTACCTGTAATTAGGATTAAAAATGTGAATGTTTTTCTGTCTAACAAAAACTATAAATTATAAAATTTTAAATTTTTTATGCATTTTACACAGAAACTTTAATATTTATAGCTTTATTTATCATATGAAGAAAAAAATTTGCCTAAAAATTTGGGGAGATGTTTCTATAAATTAGCTTTAGTAGTTTTCAATTGTTGTATTGATTAAATTTTATCAATCAAAAGTACTGCTTTCTTGCAATAACTTACTATTTTATTATTAATAATATTCTGTTAAAACTAGTTGAATTTTGATTTACTAAAAAAATGTTTTTTCTAAAGACTAAAGTTTCCATGTTTAGTTTGTATGTATCCTTACTTAAACAATAATTTTTGCATGCAAGTTTTTCTTGTAACTTGTTCAGAACTCAGATTTATCTTCTAACATATTTTCAAAGATATTGAGATTTAAGATAAAATATTAAATTTTTTATCAATCTACTGCTGTTTATACAATATCTGGGCAGCAGAGATATTTTGTGAAAATTAGTAGTTTTACTTACTGTCTTTTTCTTATTTCTTTACATAATTATGTTTCTCTGAATGGTGTAAAATGTATTTTTTTTTCAGTAGCATCTGAACATCTACTTGAAAAATGGCTGCTGCTTATAAAAAGTAATTTAAATCTGGTAAAGTGTCAATAAAATATCTAAAGCACAAACAAGAAGCTGTGTACAGCAGTTTGTTCATTCCTTTCTGTCGAACATTCTTGTCCTCTTTAATTTTACTCAGTAGATATTTCTGTGGCATACATTTTGAATTTACATTTACCCAAGTGAATTGAAGAAGTAACATTGCAGTTTTCGTCTGATTTCATCTTAATCTATTGATCGTGTTGATGGGGAAAGTGAAAGTTTGGCTTTCCACTCATGGAATTTGCTTAAGTGTTCTCTGACAAGTCAAATCTGTTTTCATTTCTGCAAGGATTATTGCTGCTTTATAGAACTCTAGTTTTCTACTTGATTCTACTGGAACAACTACAAAAGGAAAATATTAAACTTTGCTGATGCTCAATTTTTCTTTGCTACCCTTCTTTGATTCCAAATACTATTCTCCAGAAAATGGTAAGTTATGTAGTTCTGCTTTTATCAGTACTTATTTGTAAACCAAATTTCTGTTCAGATTATTTACTCATCTTTGTTTAACCTTAAGTTAGCAAGAAAAAAAGGACTAACCATCAACTGTAAGAAGACAGGAAATCTAGTATTCAGCAAGAGAAAAAGACCAAGATGTGAGTTACAAATTGGAGATATAAACATCAAGTGGGTGCAGAAGTTTAAATATCTAGGAAGCATTTTAAAAGAGGATGTAAAATAAGACGCTGAGATGTAAACATACATTGGACTAGTGGAAGAAGCATTCCAAATGTTGAGTACGGTGCTGAGAAATGGAAAAATTTTGTTTGAAACAAAGAAAAGAATGCTGGATTGCTATGGGATATCCATCCTCTTATATGGCAGTGAATGCTGGATAATCTCCCCACAGATGAGAAAAAAAACTAGAGGCAGCAGAAATGTGGATCTACAGAAGGATACTGGAAATTCCATTGACAGTGAATAAGCAACAAAGAAGTCTTAAAGAAAATACCAACAGAAAGAACACTTATACTCAGAATCAGGAAAAGTTAGCTGAAATTCTTTGGACATAATGAGGAAGGAGAGCTTGGAAAACCTAACCCTTATGGAGGACATGTTGAGAGCAAGAGATAGAGAAGGCATTGAGCCACTTACCTGACAAGCATATGTGAATGGATGGCAGAAATAGGAGTTTTCACAAAGGGAGAAAAACTGCTAATAGCCACATGAGATAGGAAATTGTGGAGAGCAATGATCGCCTATATCCTGAAAGGCTGCAGAATATAAAAGAAATGTTCTTAAGTGAATACCCATCTAAGCATTAAACAGGTTAAATACTGATTAACTTTGACAATCTGATGGGTACCAGTGATTTCAAAACGAGTGGACCATAAGCCATTACCTATTCGGACCATATATACTCCTTGTATGACATTTGCAGCTTTACTCTTTTGATTTCATTGGATCAGATTTTTCTAAAAGTTTAAAATTTCATCCTTTTCATGTGTAGTCTCTACTTTTGTTTTAGATTTACAGACTTTAAAAATGTTTGTGATTCATCTTCTATTGAATGTTACAGGAACTTTCTTCCTGTTCTCAATTTGGTCAAGTTCAAAGCAAATTTCTTTTTTGTGCATTTATTGCAAATTTACCAAACTATAATTTTGTTTTGTTTTTGCAACACACTGATGCACGTTGAAATCCTCAGTGTTTAGTATTGTTGAAATTATCACTTCCTCTGCCTATTTGAAATTCTCCCAAGTGTGTTTATATTTACAGTGCTACTATTGTGCATTTTACCAGAATGAACTAATATATAACTTAAAGAAAAGATATGCAAAAAACAATTTTGTATTTTTTTATTAAATAAGTATTTTGTTAATTTAATCATTAAATTGTTTTTAAAATAGTGGAAGTATTTTTTATGTTAAATAATAAAACTTGTAGTTTTTCCAGAAAAATTAATGAAAATTTATTGTGCTAAGCTATGCACCCTAGTAAAATCAATTGTACTTTGTACCCCTTACCTGTTTGTATTTCTCCCCAAAATTTAGTTTTGATTGGTCAATGTATGACTATTTTAGAGTGTGACATATGAGTTGACTAATGGAAGTCACAGAATTTTATATATAGATTTTAATATACTCTCCAGTGGGGGTCTTTTATGTCATTAAAATACAGTTATCAGGTAGTTATGCCATTAAAGTATTTGTCCATTGAAATTAATTCTTTGTACATGAATAATTTTGTATACATGTAGAAGCCTATCAGGAAAATAAGCTCCCACATTTGTGGTAAAAATATTTCCATGATCATTACTCAAAATTAATATTTGCTCTTTCATTTTAGACTTTCTATAATTTGAAAAATCATTATCATCCAAAGGTTTGTTCAAAGTACTGAATGCAATCTTTTTCTTATCCTTATAAATTATTACTTTTTATTTCCTCGTCTTCTGCTTGTGCAACAACCTTTTTCAGTAACCCCTCCACCTTGACTAGCTGTTGGGTCTTATATTGGTTGAACAATTAGTTAAAAAAAATTTTTTTAAAGTATAATTTGTAAGGAAATAAAAAGGGTCTTTTTTTTTTTTTTTTTTTTTTTTTCAGAAAATGGTGGCACATATACTGATTGGCTCAAATTATTCTCAGTAGCATATGCCACACAGATGATCCCATTCTCTGCAGCCTGTGTAACACAGGTAATGTTATATTTTTAATATGCAGAGGTGCTTTCTTGTTCCAAAGAAATTCACACCTTGCTGAAATTTGTACTAACTTGACTTTCACTTGTCTGACAAGTTGATGTATGCTGTTTCCTTCAACTTTCCTACTTTCCATTGATATTCCCTATCTATTATTTGGACCTCATCCCAAAGAGAGTAATGTGAAACTTTCCTATGTCCTGCCAGATAAGACTTTTCTATTTCCATCTTGGATATAGCTTTCTTAAGGTCCTCAAATCTTTCAGTATATAGGTAGTTTCTCCTTTGTGTTCTCTTTCATATTTGTATGAGATGTTGCAATTTTTATCAAGACTTTTCTCTTTAGTAAAGAGATTGAGAAGAGTTGTGCTATTGAATACCTCGTTGATAATGCCCATGAATCATTTGAATTTATTCAGTAGCTCCTCTTACATAAGCTATGTTTGTTGTAGCTACATATTTGGTGTCTCATTTACAAAGTAGAAATACAATAATTTTATTTTTATTTTTCTTTCTTTTTCTTTACATTGAAGTGTAAACATATAAAAATTGTACACTTTCCATTTTGCATATTTTGAGATGATGTCCACATAGTTTTTTGTTTTTTTTTATCTTAGTCTTAATATAATCCTGTTAGCAATATAATCTTTTCAACTACTTAAACTAAAATCTAATTTTAAAAATACAGTAGAATTATATTAGTATTACTAATAATGGGTAGGATTACTACAGTAATACTATCCATAAAATTGCCAACCGCAATTGCACTTATCTGCAGTTGATCCAATGAGTAAAACTTTGGTGTTAATCTCAAACTACTTCACAAAATGTATTTAAAGGGAATAAACGAAATGATAGCATAGATATTAGATATAATATAAGTATTTAATATGATTTATTGATTCATTTTCTATAGCTTATCAACCTTTTATTAAAACTGGAAAATATTTTTAGATTTTTTTATTTTATTTTTTTTTTTATTTTATTTTTTTTTTTTTTTTTTGAGATAATTGTTCAGTGACACAAGTCTTATTAATTAACCCATAGCTGGGTGGGTAGAGAGATTCATACTACCAAGCTTACAGCACCTGGTATTCCCAAGCAGTGACTCATCTTGGTACTGATCAGGCTCGATGTTGCTTAACTTTGATGATCATACGAGTACCAGTTTTTCAACATGATGTGGCCGTAAGCTATTTAATAACAAGTATTTTGAAAATAAAGTTCCTGTCATTAAATGGTTTTACAGTAAATAGTAAAATATTGCTAATTAAAGTAATAGATTTTTTTTCTTAACAGTTAAATGAAAATTTAAATAAAAATTTTGGGCTTTCTTTAAAAAAAAAAAAAAAAATTAAATTTTAAACTGTACTTTTAAAATAGGATTTTTGAATATATCCAAATGGTGTTTATATGGTGGATATGTTCCAAAATCATCTTTGATTTCACCATTTCTGTTGTCGTAGATTTTGGAATTTATCTACTTCAGGTCTGACTATTTCTCTGTAAAATATTAATTTAAAATATTGAATGAACTTAAAAAAGAAATAGAAACTTGAATTTTATAATCCAGTTTCAAAATCTAATTCTTTTTTGATTGGATAACCTTTTCAAGAATAGTTCTTTACTGTAAAGTACATATTTATTTAAGATCATTATAGTGCCTGTATAATTATGGTATTAATTTAGTATTTTGAATTTTTTGTCTTAAATCTTTGCAAACCTCATTTTAGAGCAATATTGACCAATTCCCCATAAACCTTTTTTTTTTTCTTCACTGAGTGAATTGTCTCTCACCTGTTCTGTTGGATGGCACTTCCAGTGCTGACTAATACATCAACTATCTCTGCTTTTAGCTTAGCTTTCCACTGAATACACAGGATAGGCATACTCTTTCCTTCATTGAAGTTAGAGGAAGGTCAAAATAATTAACAAATTATCCACTCTAGACATGATAATTTTCCCCTTGGGTTATGAGGTAGAATGTTACATCTGAACCTAAGGGAAGGATAATGGGAGAGAAATCAGAAAGAATCACTGTGACAGAGGGTATCAGTGTTATTTATCTGGACAGGGTATAGGAATCCTTGTCACACTAACCAACTTTGACTTCCCTTGCATGCAAAAGTTTGTTAAATAATTTAGACACTAGTGACACTTGATTCTCAAAAAGGCTAGCTGCAGGAAGGTGCATAATTGGTGCAGATGAGAAATAAATGTTATGCAATGGTAAGTCAGAAACTTCAAAGTTAAACTAAATTCTGTCAGAAGTCATTATCCTCAACTTCTTTATCTACCTGAATGAAATATGATTTGTTTTTATTTCTAAATAATTCTTTGTGCCTCATTAAATAAAAAGTTTCTAAGTAATTCAAACCAAATCATGAATTAAAGCTGATATTTATCCAAGAATGTGTAAATCTCATGTAAAATTTGTTTATTTTCATAAAAATATTCTGATAAATTGAATAAATTAATATTTCTTGTGAAAAATTAATTTCTGAGAAAGCTTTCTGAGTGACCAAATTAAATCTAGTATTCTGTTCAAAATTCTTGGATAAGTGATGAGATAGATTTTTTTTTTTTTTTTTTAGCATTACATTTCTTTCCAAGGAACTTTTTCAGACTAATTAACTTGAGGGAATCATTCTTGTATCCAAAAGTGTAGGGGAAGTTGGGAGAGAAATGTATGAAAAACAGTTATATTTTCATATGAAAAATATTAAAGATACAGGATTGCTCAGCTTTTGGTTTTAATTTTTGATCTCCCTTATACTTGCATATCATGTAGATTTCATTCAGCTTCTGACCATTTTTGTTTTGATTTTAATGCTATTGCTTTTAAATGTCCCACATTGTGTCAACAATAGTATTTTGAGGCAACGAGATATTTGGTGTGATCCTGGTTGTGGATTTACTGTAGAGGATTTTGAAATTGGTGCACTCTGTTTGTGTGTATAAGCCAACTTCATCCTGAATCTTTTTTGCATTCATTTTTTAATCTCTCCAGAAAAATTTACCTGTCTATAGTATAACTGATCACAGAAAATGGATAATTTTTAATCTCTTTTAAAAAAAAAAAAAAATACCTGTGTATAGTGCAACCCCCTGTTTTTTGTGTAAAAATAATCATAAATATCTGCACTATATTTGAGTATATACTCTGTGTGAAACTGTTACATTAGAACATGCAAGTTACTACTACAAAATTGCATATTTTGTTTCGACATTTAACACATCTCATCAGGTAGTTACCATCATTGTTAACTACCTGATGATTTGTGTTAAACATCAAAACAAAATATGCAATTTTGTAGTAGTAACTTGTTCTAATGTAACAATTTATAATAAATATTTACTGCTCTACTCTTGTATTGAGCACTTTTTTAATTAATATGATGAACATTTGAATTTTATACTTTTCATTCTTCCACATTTGGAGATGTGCATATATATATATATATATGTGTGTGTATGTAATATATATATATATATGTGTGTGTATATATATATATATATATATATATATATATATATAAAATTTGTGTATTTAGGCAGCAAATTCCCAAGTACCTTCGATCTTCTCCCAAGATCAACAAATCTAGATTAAAGCTACTAGAATCAATTTATATTAAAAAATTAAAACCAGCACTGAACAGAAACAACTATGAATACTGCAGTAATGTTCTGAAATGCCTGTAAAGGAACAGTTTCTTCTTTTTTTTTTTTTTTTTTTTTTTTTCATGCTTTAATGTGCATGTGACCATGACATGACCTAGAAGAAAAAATTCCATAATGGATAATTTTTTCACGTTCTAATGAACGCTCAGCACATTGTCAGCTGTTTTGCATTTAAAAGCATAATGAAAAAATTACGGTAATGGATAACAATGCACAACTTTGTATAAATACTAATGAACAACATATAGTTTTGTACCACTTGCACCCCTGAAGATGATCTTGGAAAATGAAAATAAAAGAAAAATTAAACAGCTATAGCACCTTTAACATTAATACACAGAAGGTTATTCATGAGTATGAACAGATTTTATTAAAAATTAGTAGGCATAATGTCTGTATTTTTTTCAATTAGATATATATCTTTCATATTGTTGACCAGGAAAACACTGATAAGAATTATAATTATAACCAGGTTGGGGATAATTTTATAAAATCATTTAATGGTAACATAAAATTTATGTACATGGGTTGTCCAAAAGTTTTGTCACCCCTACATATAACGCTGCTCTGTGGAATATTGTCAAGGAGAGACTTTTACATGAAGAATACCAGAATACCCATCAATAGAAGTGTGCATTTGGAGAGCCTTTGCAACAATCAACAAAGCACAACTTCATAAAATATCACACAGGACATCACACCAAATCATATTTTTGTGCTATGAAAATGATGTTCATACAGACCTTCTCAATGTGTATCACCAATGAAAATAAATACACTGAATCCAATACATGTGCTTTGTAATAGTGTATTACTTGTTCTTCTATTGTTTTCATTACTTTTTGGTAGGGGAGGTGACAAGACTTTCAGACTACTCTGTATATTTATAATTGGTGCAATGTATGTTATGGTCTCTATGCTTCTTTTCTATATTGGTAACTCTGATGGTAGAAAAGATTTAATTGCTGGTGAAACATGCTACTTGGGGGCATAGATCTTGAATCTCTTGCCATGAATTATGGAACCCACTGTTGCACTTACAATATTGGCTTCATTTCTGAAATGAATTGATTTTATTTTCAGCATTTCCCTCAATACCTGCATAAGAAATCAGTCAGCATTTGTCTTATAAGTTTATCCTGGGATTTCTTGTACATTTCTTTATAGATATTCTTCGAAATTCTTGATATTATTTAAATGCAAAAGTCAAATATACTGTACATTTTAAATAAAACTTCTATCATTTTAGATAGAAAAGCACATATAAAAAAAACAGTTCAGGTTTTCAAGGTATTTATGCTTTACAAAAATGTTTTCAGTACAATGGCTACTAAATTTATTCACTGAGAATAAGTGGGATATTCTGCAATCTCACTAAAAAGTTTTTATTCAGAAATTGTTTCACAAAATATTAAATATATTTGATAATTATTAAAATAACTTTGTAGTTTTACTTTATACATATTTTAATTTAATTTTTATTTTTTTACTTTTAATATTTTCAATTTTGAGGATTTTTTCTTTTTTTTTTTTTTTTTTTTTTTTTTTTTTTTTTTTTTTTTTTTTTTTTTTTGCCAACAGACAATAGCTACCAGAGTGTCTGTATACAGGTACCAGAATAGGCAGCAGTGTCTGCACACGGCTATGAAAATAGGCAGCAGTATCTGCACATGGTTACCAGGATAGGTGCCAGTATGAAAACAACTTTGATGGGAATTATTCTATATCTTCATTTACTTTGCATTGTCAATTTTGTGGTTTCTGTTATTCTGATTTTGGTTGCACAATGTTCAAAATTAAGTCTTAATGTTTTTGGAAATAATTTTCTTCACAAATTACCAAGCAGAAATTTACTACCTATGAATTTTTTAAAGAACAGTTTTTAAAAATTTTATTTTAAATTTTATTAACAATATAAAACAATGAAGTTAATTTTATAGTTTCATTTATTTTAAGATTTAATCTTTTTGAAAATACTAGAAAAGCAAATTATGCTTACAATATTACAAAAACCAGGCTTTGTTTTATAACTGTATGTGATACTTGTAGTTTTGTTGAAAATGTTTGTTTATTCATTGAAATTATTCCAGATGATTTAGGCATTTAATAGTAAAAGAAGAAAAAAAATAATCATTTTCTCTTTGTACTTAGGTGGAGAATCAGAAAACTTTGTAGTTCAAATGACTTTCCAAATAACCAAACATCTGATTATATATATATATATATATATATATATATATATATATATATATATATTCAAGGTGGTTAGGCTAAGAACTTTTCAGCACCTACTTATATATCTGTCATTTTACATATCATTTGTATTTAAACTCTTATTGTTGGTTCATTAGCTATTAATTAACATTCTATTTAAATATCTTTAATGGCTTCAAGTGAATGTAAATCTTAGTGAGAACCATCCTTCTTCAGACCTCATGGATTGGCACTACAAAATTACAAAGAACTGTACCAAATAACAGAAACCACATCACTTAGACTTCTAACAGTAGC